GAAAACATGCAGAGCATATTCTCTGATTCTAGGGAATTCCGAGGAAATTTGGGATTCCGTCGGAATTCCCTCGGTAATTCTCATTAACCGGGAAACCAAACCGCCAAAAAATTTCGCGAAAAATCGAATCTCCGAGATTCCGACGGAATTCCGAGGGATTCATTTTCCCTCGGAATGTTCGGGTTTTAAACCCGAGAGAGTTCTTCTTCTTCCCCATTCTCTCTTTTCTCTCTTCCTCCCTTGCGATTTCCCGGCGATTCCTCTCCTCTCTTGCGGTTTTCCGGCGAATCCCCTCCAAATCACCCTCTAGATCCGTTCCTAATCCCCATGTAAGTTCTAGATCCGATTTTCTTAGGTTTTTAGGGAATTTAGATAGTTAGGATTGAGATTAGATTGTTAGATTTAGATTATTAGGTAGGTTTATTAGATTGTTAGGATTGAGATTGTTAGTTTAGGGTTGTTAGTAGGTTTATTAGATTGTTAGGATTTGATTTTGATTAGGTTTTAGGGAATTTGATTTAGATTAGCCTTTTTTATAATTTATAAATAAGTTTAAATGTTATTTAATAATTATTTTTGCCATTTTTATAATTTATAAATAAGTTTAAAAGTAATTTAATAATTATTTTTGCCATTTTTATAATATAGAAATATGTTTTTAATTATGAAACTATTTTTGGCATTTTTATAATTTATAAATAAGTTTAAAAGTAATTTAATAATTATTTTTGCAATTTTTATAATTTATAAATAAGTTTAAATGTTATTTAATAATTATTTTTGCCATTTTTATAATTTATAAATATTTTTTTAATTATGAAACTATTTTTGTATTTTTATAACAATTTTTATTTTTAATTTATTTCTATATTAATTTAAATATTTTTAATTTATTTCTATATTAATTTTAAATCTTTATTTTAAAAACTAATNAATTTATAGGGATTCTGGTGAGCAGAGTATGAGGGCTCGACCTCGTCGTTCCGCACCGCGAGGCCGTGGTCCTTCGACGACCCCTTCTCGGGTTTCGTCCCACGGGTCTCGTGGTTCCTCTTCATCATCGCAGAACATCCATCCCGCTCCGGTTCCTCCGATTGCTGCTGAGGCTCCTCCTGTCATTGACGACTTTCCGGACATTCCCGAGCCTCCTGTCGCTCCAGGAGTGATGTCTGTTGCACAGCTGGTGCAACAGCCAGGTCGTGAGCATCTCCCCTATTTCACTCAGTATCCTAGGGGACACAGTCAGACTTGGTAAGTGAAAGTTTTTATTTTCTTTCTTTTAAAAATTTGATTCATTATTAATAA